TGAGGCCAGGAGCCCCTAGTCGCTTCTTGTTACCAGTAGTAAGAATGATCCTAGTAGCGATGCCAGGAGCCCCTAGTAGCGTCCTTGCTCCTAGTAGTAAGGCCCTTAGCTGCTTCTTGTTACTAATAGCAATAATGAGTTCCAACCTACTAGCGATGGCCTCGCTTCTTGTTCGTGTTGCGAGTTCCGTACCGCGGTCGGTCGCCCTTCAGGCGGTCCTCTGGGGCACAATCTCAGCAGCGGTTCTGAGGCGCGAGCCATGGTTTTGGCGGAATTTACCCTCATGGTCCTTCCCAACCCGAAAAAGTACATGCTACACTTATGACAATGAAAGCAGCTGGTTTAGCCACTGGAGAATTGACGATTCCAGTTAGCAAAGGACACATTGCTTAATGGCTTATGGATGCTCATACTTTGGCTATTTTGGCCCCATGTATCTCTGGGTCCCATGCTTTGGTCTCGTTGCACTGGCTTTCATCACTGCGCGCGGTCGCAGACTCTCGCTGGGCCGGGCTCGGATGCTGCGCCGATCGGCCAGGCGGCGTTCAATGAAGTGTGCGGCCTTCGTGCAGGCAGGAGAGCATGAAACACACTTCTTCTTTTAAATACATGTATACTGTATACTAGTATACTGTGTGTATAATTACGCACTTTTTCCTGATGCCCAAAAGGGGCTGCAGTGAGGTCAGCTGTACATGTTGTGGTGTCAGTAATGATATGCATTTAGGTTGTAGTCTACATGGAAAATGGTTCGCACTCCTTCTTGGCGCTGTAGAACTCTAAGATGCTTCTTTGGGCTCACTTTGCCACCATAACCCATGTTCTTCCATTCAATTCTAGTTTCTCTGCAGGCTTATTCATTTCTTCGAGGAATTGGGTTCCTGAAGAGTACTTCTGCTGGATCAACATCTGGGTTGTCCCTTCTGTATTGCTGGTGTCCGCCCTTTTCTGCTGGCCATGTAGCATTTCTATTCATTTGTCTGCCACATCTGTCACTGCTGCTGCCGCCCTTTTGGCCATGTAGCATTTCTATTCATTTGTCTCCCATGTGATTTCTTTCTTTTTGTCTTTCAGGTTTGGTGCCTGCACTGGTGTTTTCTGCCCTGTCCGCTGGAACAGGTTCACCTGTGAAAGGTTCTTGCTCCTTTGAAAGGGGTGCGTGACTGTCTCCGGGATTGCATTCCTGCCACACTGTGCAACTCTCTCTTTGTTTTCCTTTTCGGGCAAGCGTTGGATGAATGACCGGATTGGATTTCGGCGGCGTGGCAGCGATCTCTCTGTTCAGTTGGGGCGGAGGGCATACGTCAGGCACCAAAAATCAATTTCATGTCACATCCTTCGCTCCTCATGCTTTTATTTCTTGCCCTCACGTGGTCAACTTCCCGCTGATTGTGCTGACTGAGCAGCATGACCAGCATCATGTTCGCACTTGAAGAATAATTCCCCAAAAGGTTTACTGTCAGGGCTTCTCAATTCTTTTCTTAAGATGTGTCCGCCTGCTCTGTACGGCTGTGTCCGTCTCTACCTTGCAACCCTTTACACTTGTCTCCCAGCTCTGGGCTGCTGTGGCCGCCTCTGCCTTGCAATCCTTTGTCCAAGCTCTAGTTTCGATATTGAAAAACACAAACTGTTTGGGGTCTACGGTGTAATTTGATCTCCTACTTCTAGTAGGTTCCAATGTTGTGTTCTCAACTCTTCAATTTTGGTTTGGAATCTACCACACATCCGTACTGCCTGCATCCTATATACTCTGATCTCATTGACATTTCTCTGCTTCCCACTCTGAATGTTCTGTTCGGTCCTCCTGATCGGTTTGCTCCTTCATTGGCTGCCTCTAGCATTACTCTGTGTCCCTCATACCATCCTTCTGTAGCTTGCATAGCCTCCAAACTCCTTCTGGCTAAGCTCACTCAAGATGTCATAGCTGAGAATAGTTTGTGTATTTGGTGTTTCTCTCTCTACAAAGCCTCCATTCAGAATCAATCTGACCACTTGCTACCTGTCGAATATGGTTCTTCCAGTCTTTAGAAAGATATTCTGGCTTTTCACAGGTGTAACATGTTGCCACACCTTTGCCTTTTTGGTCTTTGCCTTTACTGTTGCCCTTGTGATCACCTTCCTTTCCTTTCTGATCTCCTTTTCCTTTCTTTCCTTTGCCCTTAGCATCTTTACCTTTGCCTTTCTGATGGTCATTTTTGCACTTCTTACCTTTTCCTTTGGCACCTCGGACTCGATCAATGTCCAATCCCATTGCAACACTTGTTCCCTCAAAGTTGAGTATTGAACAATGTCGCCAATTTTCAAGTTCGAGTATGATTTGTGTCCACCTAGACATCTCAAAAGAAAAGCATTTCAACTCTTCCTGAATTGTAGTCCCTGACGTGACTGTCTCATCAAATG